CGAGGGCTTTCTGCGTTCGCCGTCCCTAAGTTAGCAGTGTAAGACTAGAGGGAAGGCAGCTAGTCTTACAACCGCCAACTCTTGGGCTACTCTTTTACCAACCGTCACATTATAACGCCCCCACGGCTGAAAGGGCGAGCATGTTTGGTGTGACGGGGATTCGAACCCGCGACCCTCAGATTGCGAGTCGTGCGCCCTAACCACCTGGCCATGCCGGGCCACATACCGTATTATTATTATACTTGTACAGATATAGATATATAACCAAATTTCTGCCTGTCTCTCACGCACTGTATTTTCTGAACAGTTAATCGCAGAAAAAAAAGTATCACAATGCTTCTTTTCAAGGGAACATTACAGGAAAATTATTCCTTTTTTTTGTAATTCCTAAAATTTCATATCAGTGTAAACATCGATCCGTCAGCCTTCGTATGTGCTGAACGAACAGTCTGAGAAGAAAAAATATATATTAAGAACAAAAATATTTTTTTTTGAAAAACTTTCATGAAAAATGGAACTTTCTCCGTCGACTGGTGGAAAGAAATATTTCAAAAATAGGAACACGAAAGAAAAAACGCATAAAGAGAGGAGCGTGTTTCAGTGTATATTTGTTGTTGTTAGGTTTATATATGTGTGTGTATATGTATATATTTCATGTCGGTATTGTATACGTGCATAATTTTGTTGTTCCATGTCGAATAAGTTGAATTGAATATCTCCCCTTTGACACTCCTAATCGAAATTACAACTATCAATTAGCGCTCTCTTCGATAGCGGTCTTTTCTTGCGCTCAGTAAAATAACAAGGAACGGTAGCATCCAGTGGGAAAAATCACCACGGCGGCTTAACAAAGCTGAATACTCTAATATGCTGGATGTATCCACTGCATCGAAAATCAAACATTTTTTACCAACAATGCACTTTATTCAGTCACCTTAGTTTAAAAACAAACACAATGCAATTTTCATTATCGAAATAACACATGGAATGAAAAATACGGTTGTAAACTGGCCACTGGACAATTATATTGCATATACATTTTGATCCAAGGGATTGCGTTGACTGCACATTTTATATTTATTCATCACTATTTTGAGGTAAATTACCATTGAATTGTTTCAACAAACATCCTCTAGTCACTTTATTTTAGGTAAATTTAGTTTTAACGAAAAACTAAGTTGTATGCAAGCCCACTTGCTTATCGGAACACAACAGGACATTGTTGGGTTATAAGAACAAAACAAAATTCTGTATCTGTATATTTAAAAGTGCATGCCGAAACTTCCTCCAGAAAGTAGATAATATTATGTACGTTCGGGTATTTCATGCCTTCTACACGAGATCTACATCCTTCACTCTCTGTTGGTTCTAGAAAATGTGTTATAGATGGCGCTATAGCAGAAGAGGCGACAGTCTTTCCTCTGACAGTCACTTCCGAAGACAACCGAGTAGGATATATCCGAATAGAAGATCACATCAAAACCAATGTTAGAACCTATATTAAAATCACACTCAGCTAAAGTAAACTTGCTTCATACATATTTAAAATATCCTCAAGGCAATGAACAAAATTTTATCAACCGTTAATTTCAGATTCATGTAAATGTTTTTCGATAGTTATCGAAGGATAAATAAATATTGTGGAATAGAAATCAAGCCAACTTTAGTCTGGAAAATATTATTTTATTTTGAAACTTTTATATCTACATTACTGTATTTAAAAGAAAATGAAAAAATATAACTAGTATGAATGATTTAACAGAATCTTATAGATTATTTGTCCAATTTTGACAGAGAGAGAAGTATGCTCCATAATGTACACTACAATCACAAACACGTGAAGTTCACCAGTCACTGCAACGCTACATGTAAATAAATAAAACGTGGGACACAAATAAACGTGAGATAAAACGTGGTAGATTTAATTACTTAATCAATACTACAAAATACAAAACTGGGTTTCCAGGCAACCTAAGAAAGTTTAAAAGTGACAGAGGCTCCTTTGTGGGTTACTCTATAATGACTTTTGTTGGATAAACTGGTGTACCTTTATTAGAAGTTGGAACCTTTTAATGATTTACGCAACCTCAGTTTGACCAATAATGACGAATAACCTTAAAACACATGGACTGTTTCAGCCAATGAAGATAATAAATTTCTGCAATTATATCTTAGCTTTAACAAACTGAATTTTATGTGCTAGAACTAAGTCACATTAATGATAATTGTTGTCACTAATCGCAATACTCTGGGTAAAAAAATTAGGATAAAGGTGTACAATAATAACGTATATTCGGCTAGATTAATGAAATCTCAATATTGTTACGTCTCCGTTTGTTAATTAACTTTCCGTAACTTCGTTCCGACGAAACTTTAGCGACACAAGTCCT